TATCGAAGACAGTATGGTACAGTTTTTAATTAAAAATATTCAACTATGTTATTAATTGCAAAATCAATGAATTTCAATATTTTAGATATATGTAGTAATACGAACTTTGACTAATCATACAACTTTCATAGCAATATCATAAAGTTTAAATTTGTAAATTTATCAAATAATATGAATTATATATTGTGTAGGAGTTCAACGTATTGGACACCCAGCCGGCGGAATTCCAGCCTTTAACATCCGATACGCTGTCTTCTCAGCAGACAGTATTCTGGCTGGTGTGGGTTGCGGGTATATTAAGCGCGATGCTCGCAATCACCGTCATCATGTGTCTCTCACAACGAGCTGACTATACCAGGAGACTCAAGGCTGCCACCACTGCATACTGTCAGTATCTACCTTCTTTTACCTGGCAATTTTCCAGCTTTAGCCAGGGTCTGCCTTGCATGTTGTGAATAGTTTTGGCTAATTGCTTTTGCCTGCCTGACATCAACCCTCTTTGGGAATATACTCAATCAGAATATTTCGGTGTACGTTATAACTCATTAAATAATATGTAAAAGTATTACGTACGTCGTTTGGCAAAGTCCCTTTTATTGAAGAAAACTTAATATTGTTATTGGAATTAGACTTCCAACATGATTTTCTATTGATATTGGAACTTTATAAACTAAATTCTTATCATTAATAGTTTATTTGTTCAAACAGCATCCCAAACATCGGGCGAAGCTGACTTGACGATACGAAGTTCAGGAGGCAGAGTTCCGAACACAAACAAACATAGTACTAAAGGCTCCAACCCGATATGGCTGCACGCGTACGAAAACGACTGGTATAAAACAGACGACCAGATGAGTCACTCGGAAAGAGATTCGCTTGATGAGAATGCTGTCAATCAAGAGCTGGGGAACGATAAGCCGTACTTTATAACGCCCTACACGAGTGACGAGGGAAACTTGGAACACGACCATGAACAACGAGGCTACGACTTCTACCAGCAACTGGAACAAATGAAGAACGCCAAAAACATGGAGACTACGGAACTATAACACACTACCAACCAAGTGCCTTCATAATTAACATTAACTTTCCCGTACTAAAATTGGTTATACACCGTCTCTATATCTGCTATAGATGAGACAACGTCCATATTTACATAAGATTTTTATATATATCGCGTGTTTGTATAAATGTTATTATTATTTTTTACATAATTTATAATATATCCAATTGATGTGTGATTTTTTTGATTTCGTAACGGCTCCCCAAAATCATCCTTTATTATAGGTTGTATATTTTTGATTTTAAATTAATATTATTGGTCATTTTTTAAAAACAAAGAAATATTTATAATTTAATGAATATTGAATTTTGAAATATCAGTCGGGAATGACTTAAATCCCTTTGTTAAAAAAATACGTCTTCCAAAGTACAAATTATTGTATGATATCTATTAAGACTGCTAATAGTGACTTGATAGATCATTATAAACATTCAGCCGTGGATACGAATATCTTTTTAAATTTGGATATGGTTTCCGATGTTTCTTGAGTTATATCACTAGTTCTAACTTCCCATATAAAAACTGGAGTGGACGTACGTTTCACAAAACCTACAAAACGTCGACAAACCAAAAAGAAGATCTCAAATTACTTCTGGGGCCTCCCCACCACTACCTAGTAATAACGATGAACTCGGGACAGTTGAAAAAAGATATCTAATTTTTTTTCAATATACAACTGTATCATCTTTTCATAATCTATATGATATCCTACGATTTACTTAATATATTTTTTCTATATGTGACATCAATTACATCTGATAATTTATTTCATTTATGCCCGCCATGTTGGATTAAAAATGTCGTTGCAAAATTCAACCATGCTTTGTCTACTGTCATACTAATTAAAATTGTTTACTACTTTTTTGGTTAAAACTATTTTTTTCATCGGAACAAATTACATACTTACTTACTTTGCATGTTAAATAAAAGTTTGCGAAAAGTTTTGTTTTTTACATATATTTAAACGAAAAAATAAATCAAAAACAAATTATTAGTAACAGCTAGCAATTAATTTAATTCTTATAGATTGCGTATTTTTTAATGCCAGTATAATGTAAAATCTTTTAATTGCTATGTGTCACGTAGACACAGCTACCTACGCACATAATAATATTTCCAAATGAGTTAGTTCCATTTTATTCTTTTCTAAAAATAAAAAGATAATTTACTTAGAAATTTGATCATATACGTGACTTAAGCTCGTTCTTATGAGATCCAAACATAAAACCACTATTCTGAAATTTAAAAACTTTTACTAAAGTGTATTATTTGTTGAAATAATAACAAAAATATAAAGCGAAAGTTCAGAAGTTATCGTATCGAAGGTTATTTCGATTATTCAAAGTGATTAAGCAGGGTTCAGACTTTCTTATCTGTAATTACTATTACGATAGCTTATTAAAATCTAGATAGATGATAGAAACTGAACGGAGTTATGACGTCATGATATCAGTCGTGATATTCAAAATTTGAATGTCGTAACAAATGTTTTGTCATGTTTTACAGATAACGATGTTTGGTCTTTGAAAATTTCTTTTAAAAATAATATTCAAATGAGCTGAACTTCAATTATTATCAATCTTCTCTATAAAATTTTATTTTTTTCTTGTATTTTAAAGGTATTTTTTACAAAAACGTACTTACATATAGTAATAAGTAAATGTTAACAGTTATAACAAAATTATTCTTCAACAACATCCTGGAATATAGTTAATCCTCAATTCATCTTAAAAAAGGCATACCTGAATATGTCGAAAATTAGTTGATTCACCTTACAGAAGATAAAATTCAACTACAATTATTTATTCTTGTCCTAACCCTTGAAGTGAACAATATTGATGTCGCCCTAAGGTCATTGACCTTAAGTAATATATATAATTATTTTGCCACCTATGAACTGTTTAATAAGTCTATATGAAAGAAGAATATTCTTTAAATACGAAAGTAAATAACTGCATTATCAATATTACATAAGTGACTGATAGATTTATCGATTTATATATTTTCATCCGACTTCATTAATTTCTCTGCTTGATAATATTTAGAGGGAACTATAGTAAAAAATGAAAGTATTACGGTTGAGCCATACACAAGTATGCTACCCCTAAAAAGGTAAACTGGAGCTAGTGTGAAGGCTTACGTATAATTCAAGTACATATGTAGTATTTTAAACTCGAATAAAATTTTCATAAAAACAAATTGTTTTTATGTACTTAAAAACCAGATGGGTATAGTTAAAATGTTCATTGAATGTTTGATTTCAGCAATATTTTTATTACTTTTATCACAATCAGTAATTACGATAAACGCCATGTGTCAGGAAATCTTATTAAATTTATTATGGATCATGATTAAACGTATTCAGACATCAAATAGTTTAAAAGACTGGTGCACTCGTAAGCCGCTACTCGATACACGTAGAGAATTTTGGTGTAGAGAAAAAAATAACCACTAGCCATATGACGCAGTCATGACTTTTCAGTGCGCAGGTCACATTCAAATATATGAAGATCATACGAAATCGTCACTAATGACATTTGTATGAGACAGCGCCCAGTATATTTTTTTTAAACGTAGAAATATCTTTGTGGCGTTATCTGTTCGAATTTAATGTCAAAAATGGGTTTCACTTTTTTACCTACATAAAGTTTAATGACCTATTTTTTTATTCCGGCAAATAAACCCAAAAAAAGGTAATCTGTTTAGAAATTTGATGGCAAAAATATATATTGGACTAGTTTTAACAAGTCTGCCGAGTATAATTAATATGCAGATTTTCCTGTTGGAAATGAATCATATACATATATATATTTACAGCTGCACATACAGGATAATACCTAAATAAAGGTCAGGATATTATTTACATACACAATAATTTATTGTTTCTTACAATTTAGTGAAGCTAAAATACATCTTGTCGATTACAGTTTGAAAAGCTTTAAGTTACTATCTCTCCCTGTGTGAACCAAGTTAACAGAAGCTTCGTCTTGCAGCTGTAAAATAACACACCATACCTTGCCACTCACGCCACGACTCAGAACTGATACGACGAAAAGGATAGAGGATGGCGGGAAGGAGTTCGCGGAAATCACAACGCAGGTAATCCTTACAACCACAATATATATTAGATAAAATTATAATATAAAGATCGCCATATTGAAAAGTCTAGATTAATTGTAACTTATTACCTTACGAGATACACTGTAATTTATACTGAAACATGTAACTAGTCGGAGCGCTTCCCATCGTTTAAATATTGTGGATGAAAGAAAACTGACCACTTAAATCATTGTCAGTCTGTTCAGCTGCACGCTACATATTTACTAACTTAATAAAAAAAAATAAAAAAAATTAACACTCACTCAACTTCGTCAACAAGCTCATTAGTAATCCCATTTACTTACATTAACCAGAATGTTCGTAACGAGGGCTTACACTTACAATTCATTGACAAATCTTTTAAACAGGACAAGTGTTAAGCAATGAACGCTCCATTTCCTAAACATATGGCTATTGTACAGTTTCACAATGCAATTTAGATCTAGTTAAAGTACAAATCGTTCAGGAATTACATCACTTCCAATTATTTAAATTTAACTAATGTTTAACTAAATGAATGTATGCGATAAGACATCTACCGACACATCAATCAACTCAAATCCAATTTTTATTCTCTTATAATGTCACTTACACATTAGATGAAACAGAAACTATATTGAGGAGGTGGATCGTTTTACTTAGTTGCAATAAACGGCATTCAACAGTACAAGAGACAATCAAAATCGGTTTCTAATTATGTATAACGGATATCCAGTAATTTATTTTGTTTGGAAGGTATCAGATGGGGGGTTGGGGAGGGAGTAAGGTTTTTGGGGGTAGGTTTTGCCCCAGGCTGTGGCGGTGTGTGTAATGTTTTGCTGACGTCACATAAGACTCATCACATGGCATACTTCCTTGTCCACTCTCGGGCTAATTCATTGTACTTTTCTCTGTCAGTTTTGTAGATCCTAGCAATTTCTGGCACCAGTGGATCATCGGGGTTCGGATCACATAACAGTGAGCAAATTGACAGCAACACTGCAACAAAAATACAGTTATCGAGAATCCATTGATTGTATTAAGACTATTTTTTTTGGATGCTTGTGATAAGTTACCTTTGGATATGGTAAGCGCTGGTGACCATTGTGAACGCAAGATATCAAGACAAATGGAACCATTACTGTTTATGTTGGGGTGATAGATACGTGTTGTGAACGCAACTTTTGGTGGTTTAAACGGATAGTCTGTAGGGAAATGTATGGTCAGGAAGAACACTCCACCCTGGTAGGGACTATCCACCTGGAAATAATAAAACATACCATAAGTTACACTCCATGTTCTATAAGGCATTGTAAATGTAATTAACTTCATCTTTAACTTGTTGGGCTTCCTTTTGAATAATAGAATAAGCAAGTACTCTATGGACATGACATGACCATTTTGTCTACATATTTATAAGAGATGCTACTTAAATGTCTTACAGGATATATTTATGTATAAGGAAACTTACTGGACCCATAATTGTGGCCTGCCAGTGGAATACTGAAAAAAAAATTATATTTTTTAAGAAAATGAAGTAAATGCAATATAATCAGGATGATTTTAACAATGGCACAGCTGACTTTTATTATTCTAAAAACAGCTGTTACTGAAATTGATACACCATGGTGTACTAATGTACTGAAGCATTGTTAACCTTTTTAAGCTCTCTATAATAAATGCATACATCAATTTTATAACGTTCTTTCAATGTTTTCTATAAGGCCTGACTAAAAATCTTAAAATATCGATTTCTGTTATGAAAAACTAAAAAAGGACATTTGTATATTAATAGAGTAATATTTATTAGCTTATTTTAAACATGACATGCGATGAGTCACAAATTTAAAGTCGTAACTAAAACGATCAATACTCACGATCTTCCCCGTGTGGTCCTGCGGAACATTGTGCTGGGGGGTCTCGACCCAGATCTTGTAATTCCTGTAATATCATACAAAACAAGATATATACAACATAGCAGGAAACAATATCAAGATAAGTAAAACATGTCAAACACATCATCACAGGCGTAACAGAAGAATGAACAAAGTATTACTCATAATGGTCAGAAATTAAATATTAAGCACATTTCACAAAACAATATCACTACATTAATTCTATTATCTTCTTCTGAAACAAGTGGATGACAAGAAAACCTCAAAATTGGCACATATTTCCGACATTTTATGTACGCCGTGTGCTAAAAATTGACGCCTGTATGGACCAGTAAAACACCGTTACATTTGCATAAATGTATCGGATTAAACGAAATACAAAAGTATCCGGATAATTAAACACGCACACAGAATTATCCAGAAGAATTTCGATAATAGGTATTCACAGTGACGAAACATTCACTACGAAGTCTGGTACAAATTTTACAGCACACCACTTTTATCATACGATTTTTAAAATAGGCCATGAATTTCAATATACATACCCTATTAATTCGTTTTAACGCCATTTGATTATTATATGATTGAATAAACTGACTTTCAACTAGACAACGAAACGGTGAGCCAAGGACCTTTGATTAGAGATTGCAAGATGGCTCCCGTCTAAACGCAAGAGTACCACATAAAGTCGTTTTATGTAATAATATTTAAAAAATAACAATTAAGGCAAAACTTCAAAGACTTAAGTAAAAATTAATAATAACTAATATTAAGAAATAATAATAATTAGAACAGAGCGCAGGTTCTAACAAAATTAACACACTCGCGACGAATGAAGAACAGCAAACAGGAAAATCGACCATTTACGAAGAGCGTTTACGAGAACTCCTGTTTTTTAGACGAAGTCGTAATAAATAAAGTTATAAAAAATTTTTACTTATTTAATGATTTTGCAACTAATTCACAACTGTGTTTAAATTGTTAAGACATAATAACATCCAATAATTAAGATTCTAATATAATTTTAAAGTTATTTAAAGAAAATTATAATTAATCAATATTTACGTATATTTTAAGTGGCAACTTTGATACTTTCGGATATGACGCAATTACCTAAAAATTCTCGGCGCTATTTTTGGATAACGAAGTAGGTAGATAGAGTTATTTTCAAGCACATTTTTGCAATTTGAAACTTCACCTGGGAAAGTTATAACCTATTTAACGGAAATATAAGTTTAAAAATAATTTTCTCATTTGATTTATGAGTGTTTTTCTCACTTGTTAAGATATTTTCCGCTGTCTTTAAATTATTTTGAAGAATTCTAAAATAGTTTTTTGAATCGTATAAGCATAATTATCCGAACATGATACGACCCATTTTAAAATTGTTCTTTTAAATCGTTTATTTTTTTATTTCTTAAACAACATCATTACTCTATTTGTAAGAATTCGGTAACATTGATAACAAAATTAAAATTTTTATCAGCGTATAAGTTAAAAATTTTATAAGCCATGAGCTTAAGGATGTTAAGTTATTACAGATAAAATAACCTCCTATTTTTGGTGTCATCTAAGAAGAAAAGTGTTGAGTTCAACTCACGTTCAAAGAACTACAAAAATAATAATGATTAAAACCAACCGAAATAAAATAATAAATATGTAATAATTTTACTTAGATTATCAGAAAAGAAATCAAATACATTAAATTATGTAAGATGTCAGAATAACAATTCTTAGTAATAGCATAAGGTCTTTTTGGGTACTTATATTTTCTTGATCTTGAAGTGTGTTAAAAAAAACCTTCTTTCAGGAAATATATTTTAATGTTCTATGATAGTATCATTATTGAAAGGTAATGTTAGGTATATGAATTATTCTATATTCCGATGATAAGCTTTTTGAAATTGTACAAGCATAAATGTATTTAATAGTTATTATTTTTACTTATGGCAATTTTGCTTGAGACAACGTCAATAATGTAAATTCTGACAAATGACATTACAAAAAAATTGAGTAGTAACTTGTAACTTATAAAATATTTTTATGATTAGTTTGTACCTTTCGGTGTGCGGGGGTGGTCGTGTTTAAATTTTTTGATATTATAGTATTTTACGATTAGTCTTGTTTTTTATTACTAGTCAATAGATACTCTGTTTTGAATAAAGTGATTTTTCTAAGATGTCAAAATAAATAACTGTGATACCCGCATATAGTTTAAATTATAATAACTTGGTGTTTAATATTTTGTAACATTTATTTTGCATCATGACCATAACGATGACGAGAAAAGTTAGTGAATGCCAGGCAGAAACAGTTCAGTTTATGGCTATTGAGAAAGTAAGTGAAAAAAAAAAACTTTTTGAAAGTAACTGTTTTGTACGATAGGGATTTCTTTTTATTAATTTGTTTTGCTCAGGTGATTGACCAGTAGGAATATTTAAAAAAGTGAAATTTACAGATAAATTATTTATTTATTACGATGGAATATAGATATTTATTATTTTGTAGTAAAAAGGGTATATAAAAATTTATTTTTTTATCTTTCGTAGTTAGATGATGAGTGCATACAAGAGAAAGAATTTAGCAGAGAGAACACATTAATAAGACGAGGGAAGAAATTAGAAAGTAACAATAATTTATCAGATGAGGATATCCAATACATGAACTATAGAAAACTTTTAAAATATGAAGAAGCCCCTGTATATTTACAACACAATCCATATATTAGAGATGGTTACAGGAAATTATTACCAACCAGACTATGTTGGGAAAGGTGGGTTGATAAAAAACATAATTCATATTAAATTAATTAATGATATGTAACTATACATGTTTATTATATGGTAATGATGTAAGTCACTTATATATAACCTAATTACATACCCTCCATATCCATACATAAAATTAACAACTTATTTGGACTCATGTTTTTTTATTCACACTTAATGAAAACATTATTGAACTAGTATGTGTATGTTTCAGCATATTCTGGTGGACAAATGAAACCATGAATATTTGGACTCATATATTTGGTTTCTTTCTATTATTGTTTCTTACTATCAACGATCTGGTCATCATTAACATACATGCAACGGTCACCGATAAAACTGTTGCCGCTATACTCTTCTCCTGTTTTTTAGTAAGTCATTAATTTATTTTTTTGCTGTGTTGCTAACAAAATGTATTATGTATGTTTTGTTATTATTGAAGTTATTAAATCAGTAATGTGAGAAAAAAAATAATTTACATTATATTTTAGTGATACATTAATTATTTTGTCATTAAAAAATAATGGACAATAAAATTACATACCTAACAATTATTTTTTAATGACAAAAACGTTTAAAATGTAAATGTAATTTTTTTGTTATTATTATTTTTTTATATATATAAACATATAAATTAAAAGTGCTTCAATGACATTGACATTTACAAAAAATAATGTTTTTGTAATATTTCTGAACGGTTTTTAATTTCGGACCTTTGTCATAAAGATATAAATAAAGTAATAAATAATAGATTTATTAGAAGTGATGTTGATGTTTGACGTTTAATCGAATTCCGTTAAGAAATACGAGCGTTGTTTAAACAAGCGTTTCTTGAAACACATCACGCCATGCCTTGTCTATGTTCCCCCACTGTCAGTGAAAGTGGGTTTGTTGAGATTAAAACATAACGGGTAATATATTTTTTATTATATAACAAAAAAATACCTTTAAATTATTCATATAAACATTTAAAATTGTTACATTGTTTATAATGTGACATTGTATATCGTCAAATTGTTCCCGGAATTACTTTATTTCCTGGTTCATTTTAATTATTCTAATAAATTTTACGTTAACTGTGATTTGACATATAGTTGTATTTAACTTTTTTCATCAGTTAATTAATATTAGGAGAAATAATGTAAAAATGACAATCGAAATCTTTGTTTAGTAATTAAAGTATTCATCATCAGAATATCAGAGCCCACTGCTAAGCAAAGGAATTTTCTCACATGGAGAAGATACTTAAAGTACTTTGAGTTTTCCATATATGGGAATTACTAGCTTTTCGCCCGCAGCTTCGCCCGCGTGGAGTTCGGTTATATTGCGTTTCCAAGGATAACTTTCAAAAGTCTTGGATAAAAACTATCCTATGTTCTTTCTCAAGGACAACTGTATATCTGTACCAAATTTCATTAAAATCATTTCAGTGGTTTAGGCGTGAAAGCGTAACAGACAGACAGACAGAGTTACTTTCGCATTTATAATATTAGTAGGCATATGTGAATTTGTTTATGGAATTGACGTAAAAATATCATATTTATCCCTCTTTTCGTAAATGAGTTAAACAGACAAACAAACATTTCGTTATATTAGTTAACATTTACAAATGAATGGACTATTTTTATTGCATATTATCAGGAAAAAAACAATTATTACTTTTAATGTATGGAAATCTAAACACTACAACGTTTTATATATACAATTATCAACTTCATGTTAAAATTATCGTTGTTTTACAATAACAATAAAAGGTTAACAATATGCAAGAACTGATTATGTTCAAGGAATTAACTATGGTAAGGAATGTCAAATCATTATATCTTATAAGTAAGCATATTCTTAGTTTACATCCTCTATACCTTACATACTACGCGTTCAAAATTTTTCATTCATAAATCACTCCACATAAAGATAGTATTATTGTACGTAATTGAGTGAAAAACGTGAAACTTTTTGTTAGTAGTTTGATAGTACACACGTACTAAGAATAAAGAGTATGGTCTTTTCAAACGATGTTATCTGCTTCACTTTTAGATTTCATTAATTGAATTTGATCTAATTTTCTTAAATTTAATAATAGAGTGCTTTATGTACATTTGATTTTATCTGGTCAGCATCTGTAACAAAGCGTCTCAATATAAACTATTGTTCTAATATATTCTTGTTACTACAACCACGAGTAGGTTCCGTATATTTATTACAAGTCGACATCGTTACACTACATAAGGAGTTTAGAGTTTTTTGTTCATCAATCTTCGCATATTATAGTGTCAATGGAAGTGTATGAATGAAAATCTAGCGTCATATGTACTGTGGCAATAAAAATTTGTGATAGGTAAAATACTGATTACAATACGTGTTCAGTATTTTATATATTTCTTATAAATGCATGTGTGTATGTTTGTGTATTTGCCGTAATATTAAAAACTGAGAGACCTACCAAATAAAACTATCATTATTTAACAGTGTATGTTACGAGTATTTTTAGTTTTAAATACATGAATAGTTAGAATAACTTATTTATTATGATATATTAGCGTCATCTTAGCAAAAATTTCTTTTCTACAATAAATCGCCAGGCTTGCGACCTTTCCACCTGACATTGAAATGTGAAATTTCTGAACTGTCCATACAAACTTTCACTGTAAGTCGAGCTTCCATACTGCTCTGTCCTATGATATTTGTCACCTTTTTTTAACAGAAAATTTAATATATTTACTATATAATTTTAATCCGGAACCTCCATTATAAAAGCGAAATATATTATACTCAACAATTATTTACTAGAGAGAAGGTAGAAAGTGTCTATTCATCAGAAATTTAACAAGCAATTTTAATATACACCATTTTTATATATTGCAAGAAAATGCATTTATTATTTTTACTATCATTATATAAGGTATCTCGTTGTTAAAATTGCCTATACTTAAATAAATGATAGTTGATTTCGGAGGTAAAAAATTGATGCTTTTCATGTGAATTAGATAGTTGCAATCATATGGTGTCCATGTCGTGTATACAGCAATAAATTTCAAAAGTAGGTCACACTCCTTTCCGATTTAATTATCATTATTGATTCAGTATTATTAGTTATCTTATGTTTTTTAATAAAAAAAGTTTAATTTTTGAAAACGCTTTCCCTAATTTTGTTCGATATATCGTATTTAAATAACATATCTTTGTAGGTTGTGATGTTTAAGATATTTTTTAAACAGTTCTTCTTGTTTTAAATTTTACGGATATTAAAATTGGCAACCGGTTTTTTACTTTAACATAAAAAAAATTAAAAGTTTTTAACCATTTTTTTTTCATTAAATATTATATTTTTGTTTAAAATTTTCGTTTCAATTTTTATCAACTTTTAAGGCCAATACCTTACAATATATCACAACGGTGTATAACTAAAATTGCTTGTTAAATATCTTATGAATTGTCACTTTCTACTAGTTTCTCTCTAGTACATAAACTATAATAAGACGGCTCATACATCTGTTATTAAAATACAATTATTAAATATAATATTATGTTCCGCTTCTTATAATGGAGGTTGCGAATTAAATTTATCTCGTAAATAGTGGTTTTTAAAATATCCTTGGTATATACTGACTTTTAAGGTCACAAAATGGTTGACTTTGATAATGTATAAATTAGCTTGTAGCTACGACTTCATCCGAGTTGAAAGGCTTTTCGGTAACTTATATTATTACTAAAGAAGTATCCAAAGGCATTCCTTATTACATCTGTTAGCTATCAGTGAAAGTTCATCAAAATCAGTTCAGTCGTTTTATAGATCAGACTGAACAAACAAACAGAAAAAATGACAAAAATGTTTTTATATGAACATACGTATTCTTAAGTGGTTATTTTAATATGTCAAATAGACATACAAATATTTTGTATATATTAAAATACCACATTTCTTCACTTGTACATTTGATTTTAAAATCTGTATCGCTCTTGACCTTACCTGTTCTTTACTATTATTAATTATATAACATAAACAACGCCCATATATTCACTACCGTATCTTGTGAAGGCCTCTGTTCATATTTTGGCTATAACTTTAATAAATGTCAGGTCCTTGACCCCAATCACCGTTTTTCAAATATCTGTAGACTAACGGAAGGTTTAGAAGCATACTTTCTATATTTGCCATAAGAAATATCCATAAATAAATAATTTAATGTAAGCTTTATTTATTTACAGTTCAAGAATTTGATATAAAATTTCAATCAGTTTTGTCTTTTCACGTACTGAAGTTTTTATCTTTAAACATATTATAATTTATATACTACATAACATTTTTAAATCATACCTATGTATAATTTAGGTCAATAATCCATTTTCGTGTCATCTCATTACAACAGTGAAAGTTCATATTAGTATATAATTTTATTTTTTATCGTCATTCATTCCGAACACAAAGACGTCGACCTGATTGTATCTAAATGTTTTGTGTCCGGACAAAAACATTTCTATGTAATCAAATAGCTATTAATAACATAATCGTTTTATTTCTGGTATTACAATGCCTCAGACAGACAGATGATAAAACATAACCTCTCGTTTAACCGACTTAAATTGATCAATATATCTTATACTAGAAGACCCGGCGAACTTCGTTTCGCCCTATAATCAAGAAATATCTGTTACGTTTTTTTATTTATATTTTTGGAGTTTACCTATTAAAGCCATAAATCTCCGTGTTTTGAAGTGATTAGGAATGATTAATAGTTAATATGAGAGTTACACTGAGCTAGCAAAATAATAATTGTCAACGTTACTACTACACTTGATGCACAAACAATAACGATGGCCGACAACTGTGTAGGGAGTGAGAGAAGTCTAATTGTGTGAGAGAAACAGAAGACCGGCTTCGTTCTCATCCCTACTCCGTGCTGTTTACTGGGTCAGAAGTGACACCTGTAGATATCTGGCGGGGATAACTTATTAAATGACGATTGATCAGTTATCGACCGGAGATGAAAAATGATTAAATTACTAAAATAGCTATTAAAAAATAAGGGTTGATCGTAGAAGGGTGAAAATTTAGGATTGTATGTATTTTTGTACGTTGTATCATAAAAAAATAGTAATTAAAAATTTTGTCTAAAAAATAAAAAAAAAAAATTTAGGGGTGGACTACCCCTAACATTTAGGGGGATGAAAAATAGATGTTGGCCGATTCTCATAGCTACCGAATAAGCACAAAAAATTTCATCAAAATCGGTCAGGTTGTTTCGGAGGAGTATGGGCACGAAAACTGTGACACGAGAATTTTATATATTAGATATAAAATTCTCGTGTCGCGGTGTTAGACAGAGAATTTATAAGAAATGGCTTGACCGATTTTAATGAAATGTTTTGAGCATATTAAGTAGGTCTAAATCTATTTTTCATACCCTAAGTCATAAGGGTTGTTCAACCTTAATTTTTTTTTTATTTTCGGATAAAATTAAAAAATATAAACAACCCAAAATTTTTACTTTTTTATCACCAACCCCTATTTTTTTATGTCAAAACAACGTTTGTAGCTCAGCTAGTAGTAAGTATTATATTCTAATAGTATATATTTTTTATCCACAGATATGCATGGCGTTATCAGCTCTGTACCACACGTTCTCATGTCGATCGGAAAACGATTACAATACATTCCTCATGTATGACCTATTCGGTATAGCGCTATCTTTACTGGCGATTTACACATCAGGTGTTTACTACGCGTTCTGGTGCCATCACGTGAGTTTTAGTAGTAGTGACTAGTGATATATACGGGGTGACTGGTGAATTACTATCAATATTTTAGGAGAATACTCTGTACATGATTCTCATTCGAATTATGTAAAAAAAATAGGTATTTAATTTTCGACCAAATTTCCGTATAAATAAATAAAGTTTGGACACGTTCCAAGTGTTCCAAGTGTGGACGCGTGCGGCGGCGTGCTGATACAACACAACGCCGCCAAACGCGTGTGTGTGTATACCTAATCTGTAGGGTGTTCACACATGCGTAATTAATTACATAACTTTTGGTTAACTTTACTTAGAAGTTTATTAATATTTATGTTATATTAATTTTTATTTTGTCATATATGATCGTCAAATATCACGTCCTCAAGTATCAATAGTAATTCACCAGTCACCCTGTATATATATATATATATATATATATATATATATATATATATATATATATATATATATATAAATATATATAATGAGATGTAAGACTTTTCGAGTATTCATTTAAATGAAACTAATATTTTCGGATTACTAAGTAACATTTCGTCTGCCCATGATCACGGTTATTACAAAGTAACCGAAACGTCAGGAGTATGTAGTTTTAAAATAATAAAGTTCGCGAAGTAATCTAAAAATATTAGTTTCATTTTACTATATATAACTACATAATATATGAACTTGGGAACATACGGGAATTACTACAATTGTTTATGTGGTTAGTTAACATTTAATTTAATACGTAAAGGAACTAGAACTTTGAACTTGAAATTATAGCTGTTTTATTTGTTTATATTATAAAAGTTAATATTGAGACGTCACCCGCTTCCGCGGAATAATTATCATCAAGGTCCAATTAAACGATCAAAAAAATTGTTTTTACCGCCTCTTTAATACATAATGCTTGAATTACTTAATTAATATCAATAAATCAACTATATTCGTATTATTATTTTCTTTTTAAACAATAATATGAATCACTTTTAAAATTTTAAATCAGTTTCTTACAAACAATGGGAATTATTATTATATTTACCTTTATCAATGACGTCGATAAGATTTTATACATTTTATCATAAAAATATCCGATCTTGTTATAATTGTATGTAATTCTTATTAATTATACAGTTCCTAAGATAATCTTCTATCTCTTTCATTGTGTATCGTACAGAGTGAGATGTGTTTAGAAACGTCTAGAAGATAAATTGTTTACGCCAAATAAAAAAAAAACAATTTTAATATAAATTTTGTAAGGTCGTTTTATTCTTATTATGAGCTACACGATGTTTTTTAATGCAGACCTTCCAAATTGTACCGGATTCATTTTGATTATCATGAGTTAGTGAAGGAAAATTTCGCGAATAAATTCGTTTTGTACTAAAACATTATCAATAATATGAATATACTAGGTATATAATACAATTTATTCTCAATTCTGTCATTACTTTTGCTTTTATAATAAAGTGACGTATCTCTAAATTGAATAATTATAGAAACTTGTAAAATACATAAATATATAATTTTCGCCCTCAAAATCTCATTTCCATCAGGTAGTCCGCTTGTTGGACGAAGTAAAAGTTATAAGTGAAAGTGTACAAGAAGAAATATCTTCTCGCCGGTCGGAACACATTAGCGGCTACACAAAAATTGATTTCGTATAAAAACAAATCATTCATTCGTTCAAAAAGAATGATTCGATAAACATTCACTCACTCATTTCTAATATAGAAATCATATAAAATTTTTAAATAGCGCGCGTGTTATCAAATATATTGAATGCTAAAAGCATCGTTGATTTCGAATAACCACAAATCATTCACCATTCAGTTAATTCGTTCAAAACTTTATACACATTCACTCACTTCAAATACAAAAAACATAAAAATTTAATATTAGCGCGTTTTATCAAATATAATGAACGCTAAATGCATTTTTGATTTCGAATAACCACAAATCATTCATTCAGTTCATTCGTTCAAAACTTTAAACACATTCACTCACTTCAAATACAAAAAACATATGAAAATTTAATATTAGTTCGTATTATCAAATATAATGAATGCTGAATGCATCGTTACAAATAGTTTACCGATTCACACGAGCGAGTGTTTTGTAATATTGCGTTTGTACACGTTAATGACCTTGGACACGACGCCATACACATAATAATGTAGAAATGTCACAACGAGAATATTATTATTAAAATTAAAATAATAAATCATTTTAATATTAAGTCATTAATATTAAGATGTTACATATTCATAGCCTTAATTTAATTAATTATTTTAAATAATAATGGCTTTTATTGCTGTTAAATAGAGATTATTATCGTGTGATTTATTTATATAAGAGCATATGGTAGTTTGTATCGTGTCAGTATAATGTTTTCTTGTAATGCGAGCTAGTGTCGGTGTGTCGAGCTACACACTACATGCAACATCCGTCACACTTACAATATTCATCATTCAACAATCATGACATATGACTGTTCCCGGTATAACAATTGTTCCAATAATAGAATTTTATTATTACTGAATACTTTCGTAATATTTCAATTTAAATTTAAAAAAAAGTACAATTTTTCTTGAAGTTTTATTAACAAATGTAGGTACTTCGTTTGGTTTTCTGTATTATAATTTATTATATATTTTTTAATTTCATTGTCGTTTTTCCAATTTAAATGTTTTATAGAGTAAGAAAAAAAAACACACAACAAAATGTAAATTTTTCTAACATAATAATTATATTAGTCGAAGGAAGGTAACATTATTAGGAATAAGGAAGCGATTTAATTTAGAATATCCAATTATATATTGTGGCATTGATTTCGTCCTTATCATTTAGGTATTAAATTTGAATTAAATATTATAACCGTTTTATTTTTGAATGTGTATCATATTTTCCAGGAGCTAAAGACGTTCTACATGATATCAGTGACCCTAATATTCGTGGTAGCTATGGTGTTACAAGTACCGAAGCTTCAAGTCCCTTATATTGTTAAGATGTGCGTGTTCATCGGCTGGGCGGCTTATGGGGTCCTGCCGACACTACACTGGACATACGTGATGGGGGGCTTCGATAACCCCATGGTTCAGGTCAGTTTTATATACATATTAGATGTTAGGTTTATGTATTGAATATATATTATATATCTCGGGTTCTATATCTAGCATTACATCGGTTTTATCGAAAAAATTAAGATCTATTAAACTAATAATAAAAGCGAAATAAAAAAATATAATTAATAAGTCTAAAACATTTAGTAGTTTTCTGTTCAAATATTTTTTATTTGCGATTGTTTTACTACAGCGTCAAGAAATAAATGAAGCCACGAAAAGTGGAATTCAATGATTGAATGAAATGATTCTCTTTAAACTTTCCTACCGATCGTAAGATAAAAATTTCTTTAATATAAGTTTAATAGAATAATATAATTAAGAATATAAGATGCATCTGACATTAAATAAATCACGGCAAGTAGATTTATTCTGTGACATATAGAGGAGATGAAAATAAATAATATTATAACCAGTTAGACGAATATTTTAAACTATTTTCAAATATATTGATGTAATTATTATTCGATAACTATTGAAATATGTACTAAGAAACAGAAGTCCGAAATGAAATCAAGAAAAAATATTTTTTATAGTGTCGAATTATGATAAATATATAAGTAATGAAAATTAACAGAAATAATTGATGTTGACTGGTATAAAAAATTAATAGCAGTAATTTTAACGGTTGGAAAACTTATTTCATATATGAATGTATGTTGCAGTTAATAAACTACATATAAGTTTGTAAGCGTCATACTATACTTTATGATGTCCCTAAAGTCTCATATTTTTTTTCATGATTGCGGGAAATTTTGTAGGTAGCTTCTAAAGGTTTGACTGTTTAAGTTAGTGAAATTTAAGGCAGGGACAATTTAACCCAAATACTCTGAAACTACGATGATGGTAGACCCAAACTCTTTCAGAATTCCAAAATATTTTGAGACAATCGATAATTTCCATGCAGTCGAATTTTCTCGAAACTTCTGTCAAATTTATTTGACGATGATAATAATACGAGATTCAGCTATTTCTATCTCTGAACAAGATGTGCTAGCTTGATTTGGAACCCACAATGTAATAAATCCGTATACTGATAATAGATTCAAATATAACAACATTGGCCTTTGTTATGTTTTAAGAACTTAAATTCTCAGTATGAAGAGTCCAACACGACCCTCATTCATATAGTTTTGTAATATAATTATTTAGACATACGTTAAGGTAGGAATACAACAAAACAAAATAATAACAAAAAAAAATTTATTCAATTGTTCGTATGAAAGATTAACAATAAGCGCATTAATTTCTCGATTATTTAAAATATTCCAAAATATTTGATATTTTTCGGACTCTTTTTTCGACCTCTAGATCCTTTTAGCTAAAATTGTTCCATTATCTTATAGAAAAATTTTCTTTAAAAATAGAGTCGGTGTTTTATTCCTTAGTTGTTAAGGAACTTGATTGTTGTATTTACCGTATCTCAGAAAACGAGCTCATTGCTCGTAGTTTATGAAATTAAATATTTTCCTATAATTTAGATAACTGCATATAGTGCAGGTAAAGATGTCATTGTTTGAGAATAACTAAACTACCCTCGTCCTCTATACTCACTTCATTTTAGTCAACATATAGAATTTTTCACTTCATATTAAAATCTAAATCTTCATTATTACGCTAAGATCTTTTGTAAGCATTGTCAAGTAATTAAATGCTTCTTATAAACTAAGTTTTATTTATCTTAATAGCTGAAGTATAAACAAAGTGAAGTATTAACATGTAAAATATAGGCATTCAATTGGGCAACTTAATATACATTTTTGACTGTATATAAATACATATATTTGTATAATTTCAGATTTTCTTCCCTCGTGTGATCGGCATGTACGTCATAAGCGGTACAGCATTCGCTATATACGCCTTCAAGGTAACCTTAATATATAACAATCTTCTAACATAATTTAATTCACTTGACAAACTGTTCTATCAGATGAGACTTATAATGAACATGATTGTGTCATTGTTAGCAATTCTTTTGTCTGTCATATATCATAATATTTATATTAGAAGCAATCATCATACTGTTACTTCACTTGTATTTTTCAAACATAATAGACTTGCTCCATTACTATAGATATCATGATATTACAGGTTTTATTTTGATACAAACATACACATACATTGATTATTCCATTGTCATAATATTTATCAAAACCACGTACTAGTATGTATAATAAAAATAGTATGAACGAGAAGTAGGTATATCGCTTCCGATGTCAAAGTATCATGTCATATTTGGTCTTTAAGTGTGACGTCACTATTGCTGACGTCACTATCATTATTATAAACAGTTAACTTATCCATAATCCATATAACACTTACAATTTCTACTAGTTTATTTCAAAATTTAACTTGCAATTGCAATTACATAATCTTCCTACTAGATGGCTCTCATACTATATCTCCTTCACTAACGTTTCTTAATATAAATGGTTTTTGTGAAGTCATTAAATTTATTCTTTTAATTTTAAATATTAAGTTACGTTGAACAATCTAAGCCAGTCAAATAAACGCGAAACATTACACAAGTTTTAGTAATTAATTATTAAACCATCCAAGCTTTAAATATAAAGCAATGTAACTATGCAATAGCAATTGCAGTTTAAGAACATCTATGTATTTTGTGTCACGTGACTTCATATATATTATGAATGTTATGATATACTCCCGCGGGATAGTTCCCATGTAGTCATGGAATGAAGGATAAATAATAGCCTGTCGTAATCCGACATCTAAGCTATTTAACTGTAAAGATTTTCGGCAACAAATATTCATACATACTCTTAAACATTCCTATTCATAATTTCAAACAAATAAATACAAAAAGTTTTTGACATGGTAACACATATCTATAAACAAACAAAAAACACATATATTTCTAATATATAAATATATTTCTAGATTCCAGAGAGATGGTACCCAGGTAAAGTGGACTACATCGGTCATTCACATCAATGGTGGCATATCTTAGTGTTGGGTGCCTTATATTATTGGCACAACTCAGCTATGATATACGTCCAGTATAGAATGAACCACGGCTGTGCTAATACCATGAGGATATTCTAGACGCTTCTAGAATGTTCCATCATGATCTAGAACAACCTGGAATGTTCCATAAATGTATAGAGTTATTAGTTAGGTAGAAAAATGTTAAGTATCAGAATATTTATAAAATTACTAGAATGTTTCATCAACAACATTCCTATATTGTAATATCCAAGATGGCGCTAGTGTTATTATAATTGCGAGCGAATTGATCGTTCGTTACTTTCTGTTTATATTAAAGAGAATGTTTTTATATTGTATGCAGAAAAATATAATTAAAGTTATTGATAATCTTGATATGTGTAGGTTATACATTTTAATATTTCAAGATAATTATTACTTTGTAAATCACATTCCATAACAAAGGGTGACATATTGATGAACAGCTTTGTATTCAAATATTCCATTCCATGTTGTTTTCTAAAATCATTATCACCTTTTTTAAAATATTTATGGATGATATTTAAAAATTATGAACCAGAATCATCTGAATGGTTTTGATATAGATAACATATTGTTTTATAGCAATCTCTGTCCTTTGTGAATAAACATATTGAAGAGATATGATTTATAAAAAAAATATCCAACTTTTTTATAATTGTATTATCTGTATTAGGCTTTTTTTTCTGTAACAATAAAATGACAACTCTTAGAAAAGATGGTGCAGTGCCTTATGTTAATATGTATTGAGGATTTGTTATTATTTCATAAGAACGGGTATCTTAGATCCTGATTTAATTTATAAAGATTCGGGTCCATAAATTCCATAAATTTTGTATAGTAATAGTGATATAATAAAAATAGTTAAAATAATAGTTAAAATTATTATAATACAAAATATGCGACCATGACATTTGAAACAACAAAGTATGGCACAATGACATATAGTGTAAGGTTTTGTATGAAAAATGTACTGTGTATTAGTTGATATGTACAATACGATTCACAGAAATGCCTAAATAAAAAGTATTTGAAAATGCCATAATTCTATGATTATATGATAATATCGGTGCTTAAAAATATACATTTTAAATACTATATATATTTTAATAATACTAAAAATTATTGATAAAAATTATTCACATTCCTAAACAAAATAAAAAAACCTTATTGAAATAAATGTAATGAATCTCACTAACTTTTTTCATTTATTTAAAAGTATTTAAATTTAAAATGATCACAATTCTAATTCATTGATTATTGAATAAGTAGTTAAATTTCATTTCATAAATCAGTTTTATTTGGTATTCAAACAATGTAACAAGTTCCATTAAATGTTTATTATATTTATTTTTTTTTCAAATATGTATGTAAGTATGTGTGTAGGGAAAATAAAATTTAATCTTATCTGTAGGGACAATAAAATGTTATCTTATGTAATGTAAGCTATGAAGTTATTGCTCAAGGTAGGACATAAACATATTTCTTATTAAAAGTGAGATATTTTAAATAAAAAAACAATTAGAGGATTTTTGTATTGAATTTGTCGATATTTATATTTAGAGCACTTGAATATATCATTAATTTTTGTATGTTATTTTTATTTCATTGTTATCTTGTATTTGTTAGCATTTCTTCTGTCTGTGATGTTTTTGTTCAAATGTATATTTTTTTAGTATTTTTATTGCGGGATCAAAATGGATATAAGATAATAAAAAATATTTTATACAAAGCATTTTATTTCTTTTGAATCTAGTTGTGTATGCCTATTACAATTTCAATACTTTAACAACGAATTTTCTTGTATGAGAAACTTGTTTGTTCCCTCAGGATATCCTTGAGAATGTTATGTTAATAAAATAATGAATACAAAAATCTTGGTTTTGTATACTGTGACTTATAAAATAGCATACATAGTGCAGAAATTTTTATTTGCGCCATCTGTAGTCGAATAGTCAAACTACGAATCACGATCAACGTATACTACACATACCCTACTCGCCACTAGAAGTCAGCACTACATCGTGTTCATTTTGTTATAATAAATTGTTATGTAGCCTGCGAAATTGAAAATGGGACGGTTTTTTTATATTATTTATATTAGGACTTTTTTTAATTATGTTTAATAACTAAAGATAAAAATGCACGTTTTGCTTAAAATATTTTATACAATCAACGAAGGAAATGTAGATTGACGGTTTGGTAAATAAATAAATTTATTTGTACAAATCAAAGTTTTCAATTGTTTTCGTAATTTGTAAACGTATAAATAAAACAGATAAACAATTTGTTTATATTTTATTAGTTAAAGTATTTCTTAGGTTTCATTTTTATGTAACTTTATTTTTAAGTTTGTTTACATATACCTACGAAGGTATCGAATAGAAATCATAAATTATAAATCATTGTAGATTTATAAGCTAAACATGTAAACTACATATTAAATTTTAATATATTGCTAATGTTGGATTATTTTAATTACTCATGAAATATAGACAATAGGTATATTTTTAGTTTAAATTTGTAATAATTTGTTTTTAAATTGAGTTGACATAACATCTTAAAAGGATAGAAATCAGAGCTCGGTCCACAAAATCAAAACTACATATCAATTTTGTACTTGAATCGTGTAAAAAAGTGATTTAAAACATCGTTGACGCGATAAATGAATTCCCATAGAGCGGGCGAGTCATTCGGAGGCTTCAGGGGGAGAACAAAAGACGAACGGGCAATATTTTCACAGCGGCGTTGAATGGCTCGCGTGTTTATACAGAGTAGTGGGAAATATGGCAGGCAGATATCATTTGGAATGGTACATCGATAAATCCTTCGGATGAGCGATGTTTAAAGGATTCAGATTGTTGAAAGTAAATTGTGTCGCGATGGATTGTTAATTTAATATTTGAACAGCGAACTTTGTTCCAATATATTGAATGATGATTTTTTTTTTACAATACAATGAATAGTTACGAGATTTCGACGATTCAACGGATTATTAAATGTAATATATCCTTTGTTTATATTGAATTAGTGTTAACTAAATAGTTAGAAAAATAAAATGTTCGTAAACAGATGAAATTTTAATACTAATAAAACTGTAATACTTATTGATATTAGTTGTAAAAAAATAAGCTATCCATTTTTTAGCTTCAAAAAACTTTAAATAAAAACGAGTCAGTTGCAATGCTAATCATTGTATTTTTTTAATTCATTAAATCTGCCGTTTGTCCAGCATTAAAATGACGAAATTTTTTGTGCACCTACAAATTACCAGGTACAGATATTTCAAATACATTACTACAGAAATCGGAATTGTTGTTATTGTAATGAATATCAATGTTTTCCAAAGGAAGTGAAGTAAAATATTATTTGTAATATTTTTCTTTGTCATCACGTACCTATCCTCGGAGTCCTATTTACCTGATATTTTTTATATCTTTTCATGACACACACATTCTACGGATCAATCTATACTAATATTATAATGCTGAAGAGTTTGTTTGTTTGTTTGAAAGCGCTAATCTCCGAAACTACTGGTTCGAATTGAATAATTCTTTTTGTGTTGGATAGTCCAGTTATCGAGGAAGGCTCTGGGCTATATAACATCACGCTACGACCAAAAGGAGCAAAGATATAGTGGTAAATGTGTAAAAAACGGGAAAATTATTTCATCTTTGAAGCATTCCGTTGCGTGCGCCGTGAAAACGGTTCAAGATACACAAAAAATATGTATGAAAGAATAATAGCTCTTTTAATGATCTAAAAAACAGTCCGCGACAGTATATGTCTATCTTTTAAGATTAACTCACAAAAACCGTTTTTATGGGGTACCATAAAAATTAGGTATAATTTGGTCGAAATAATTTGTTTAAGTTGTATCAACATAATAATATAAATCTTTATTCAAATAAACAAATAAATGTGTTGTTGGTTAAGAGTACTTCATTGTGAATAAAAAAAAACAGGTTTTATCCTGAAAATTCTACGGGAACTCAACCATTCCGAAAACCCCGCAAGAACGGGAACTATGTGGGAAGAATCTGCCGGAAGTCACTATTCCACGCAGACGAAGTAACGGCAAAAGCTAGTATTATATAAAACAGCATAAGGTTAGAATCGGTTTCGAATCTTCGAGATGTTAGAATAATATCAAAAGACGTAGTTACTTATAATTTTCATCCGAAGATTAACTATTCAATGTAAACTGCAGACTGTATCGTGTATCGTGTAAACTGCAAAACTGTATCGTGTAAACTGCAAACTGTATCGTGTAAACTGCAGACTGTAATGTGTATAGTGTAAACTGCAAACTGTATCGTGTAAACTGCAAACTGTATCGTGTAAACTGCAAACTGTATTGTGTAAACTGCAAACTGTATTGTGTAAACTGCAAACTGTATCGTGTAAACTGCAGACTGTATCGTATATCGTGTAAACTGCAGATTGTACAGTATATACTACTGCAGTGTATATACTTCATACAAAAAGCTCCTAAAGAAGAGAAAGCTTGAAATAATACATCATCATTAAAAAAAGTGCGCAAATTCATAAACACAAAAAAAAAAATTACATTTGAAAAACTGATAGGAATTATTTGTACATTTTAAAAATCTACTTAATTTTCTAACATTTAAGTTTAAGTTTTCATAAAATATATATTTTCATTTAAAAAAGTCTTATCCAAATGACCAATAAATTCAATTGCCATTAAGATTTTTCTTTTTTAACTAGGATTTTTTAAATAACAATTTCAAGTCTCTTCTACCTGACAATTTCCCAGCTTTAGCCAGGGTCTGCCTTACATGTTGTGAACAGTTTTGGCTAATTGTTTTTACGACCGGCCGCCTGCCTGACATCAACCCTCTTTGAGAATAGATAACCATTCCAAGTAAATGTTATAATTATACCTTATAGTAATTGACTAACCTAAAATATAATCAAATTAATTTAACGTCTTAAAATGTAAGCAAAAATACAACTGAATCAATATTACCGATTTGTCCTCAATTTTAATGGAACTTTTTTATTTTAGAGTCGAACGGGGGAAAGTGTTACAAGTTAAAAAAAATACCAATTAAAAA